CACCAATCGCGCTACGCAACTGCAACTACGTTCCAGCGTCACAAGATTCAGGTTGCAATCATCATGAAGACGAAGACTGAGTCAGCAAGTACTATTCTAGAGCTATCTCATGATTGTAGTTAGCAGATTTCTATATGAACAGCTAGGATCCAGCATAGAGTTGTTATCATTGCTTGTACATATTGTGTTCCTAGCTGGTGACAGCAGAGATAGGTGATATGGCGGTCTGAACGAGTTTCTCAAGGCGCCATAGTCATAGAAGTGTGTATATGAGTAGTTGTTCATCCCTTGTATGCCATTCTTGCTTTCTGAAATTTACAGAGTTTATGCTACCAGTTTTACGTTACTACTTTAGACTCTCTAAACTTAGCTTTCAGAATCTACTAACAGCCTTAGAGCTGTTACATTTAGTATCCGAGCTAGATTACGACTTCCTACTAGGACCACGTCATGACGTCTGACTTAGGACCTCCGTCCTCTGAGGATTGGGCTATTTTTTTACAGAACTATCGAGCCCAAATCGTTTCTGAACTTCGAGAGAGCTTGCAAGCTGAAATTCGAGCTAGTATAGCTGCAGCCGGTTCGGTGGCAGCAAGTGTGAATACTGCTGCACCATCAGATGGAAATCAGCGCGCAAGATCTGCTATGCCAGATCTCTTCACGCCAGGGAAGTTTCAGCCAGTTGTGAGCCGATGGCTATTCCTTGTCGAGCAGTACTTGCTGTTGAGCCACGTTGCACCTGCCGAATGGGCATCATTCATGGGAACGCTTCTTTGAGGTTCCGCGATTACTTGGTGGTAGACGATTCACACCTCTGTTCAGTCATGGGAGCAGTTTCAGCAACTCTTCACGGCTGCTTTTCAACCAGTGAACTCGGAAATCAAAGCTCGTGATCGTTTGGCTGCCCTCAAGCAAGTCAAATCCGTCCAGGAGTACACGGCGCGCTTCCGTGACGTTGCTCAAGAGATACCTGACCTGTCTACTGCTGAAAAAATGAATCGTTTCAAGCGTGGCCTGAAATCCAACGTTCGCATGGAGGTCGAGCTAAGGGACTGCACTACGCTCGAGGAAATGATACGTGTCGCTGAACGGTATGACGCTGTTCATTTCGCATACAAGGCACAATTTTCTCGCAGCCCGTTTCTCCCTTTTGCTCCCTCCCATCAGCCATCATCATCAGCAACATTCAACCAGCAAGAACCTGCTCATATGGACCTGGATGTGATGGAGAAGGGCAAGAAACGTGTGAAGAACGATGTCGTGTGCTTCAAGTGCGGTAAGAAAGGTCATGTGAGGAGGTTCTGCCGCGAACGCTCCAGCCGACCACCGTTGCTTCCAACACCAAAAAACAGTCACCGCTAGTAAGCTTGGGGCGACTTTCTGGCAACCTGCAGAGCCCTTCCATCATTTCTCTTGAAAACACCTTCCCATCCAAGCCCCTTCTCCTTTCCATAGGCATACCAAACCGTACCTTCAAGGCCCTGATTGATAGCGGAGCTTCTTCCAACTTCATCTCATCGAACCTTGTCTCTGGACTATCTCTTCCTATAAAAAAAGATTCCCATTCCCAAACAGTGCAGATGGTGAACGGAGCTTCTATCACCTGTGGTCCAACTCCTTTCCCAATCAGCTGCACCATGGGCTCATACAAAGACAAGCTCCAGTTCCAGCAAGTACCTTTGGGAGAGCATCACGTAATCTTCGGGCGTGACTGGTTATCATCGAAGAACCCACGGATTGATTGGACTGCTGGAACAGTAACCATCATGCACAGTGGAGCTGAAATCACGCTTCATACCATCCCCTCATCCTCTTCCTCACCCAGCTGCAGTGTAATCTCTGTGAAGCAGCTGAAGAAGCTTTCCAAAGATCCTCAGGCTCAAATCTTTGTTTGCTTGCTGCAACAAACCTAAAAAACCACATCAGCCCCTTCTTCTCCTAATCCCAATCCTCCAGCAGAAATTCAAAAAGTCCTCTCTGATTTTCAAGATGTGTTTCCTTCAGACCTCCCAACAGGACTTCCTCCCAAGCGCTCAGTGGATCACCGGATCGTGCTACAACCTGGATCTGAACCGCCTGTTCGTGCCACCTACCGCATGAGCGCCGCTGAACTGAAGGAAGTCCAAGCTCAACTGGAAGAACTCCTTGAAAAAGGCTTCATTCGTGTCAGTTCTTCCCCCTATGCAGCCCCTATCCTCTTCGTAAAGAAGAAAGATGGATCCCTTCGCATGTGTATTGACTACCGCGCCCTCAACAAACTCACCATCAAGAACCGATACCCGCTGCCACAAGTGGAAGAACTCTTCGAGCAACTCGGCGAGGCCAAAATTTTCAGCAAGCTTGATCTTCGAAGCGGTTACCATCAGGTTCGCGTTGCTGAGGAAGACATCGAGAAAACAGCATTCCGAACCCGGTATGGGCATTTTGAATTCCTTGTACTTTCCTTTGGACTCACAAATGCCCCTGCCACTTTCATATGCTTGACGCACAACATCTTTCGTGACTTTCTAGATCGGTTTGTCATCGTTTTCGTTGATGACATTCTGATTTTCAGCAAGTCATTGAGACAACACTCTGAGCACCTGCGCCAGGTACTCATGAAGCTTCGCGAACATCGGCTTTTTGCAAAAGAGAGCAAGTGTGAGTTCGCAAATTCCTCCATCCCTTTCCTGTTTCATATCATCTCTCATAATCAGCTTGCTATGGACCCCACCAAGATTCAGGTCGTTGAGAACTGGAAGCAGCCTACCTGCATCAAGGACCTTCAAGCCTTCCTTGGCCTTGCCAATTACTACTGCAAATTCATCAATCATTTTGCTGCCATCACCTCACCCCTCTCTAGCCTTCTTCGTAAGCAGCAGCCGTTTCATTGGGGACCCGGACAAGAAGAAGCTTTCACCACCATCAAACATGCTCTTACCTCCTCTCCCACCCTAGTCCTACCCAACCCCTCCCTTCCCTACATCATCTGGACATATGCATCTCAAGTTGCTACAGGTGCAATCTTGTGTCAAGACCAATGACATGGCCTTCAGCCCATCGCTTTTGACCCGCGGAAGCTGAAACCAGCCGAGTGCAACTGCGCTACGCATGACCGAGAAGCGCTGGCCATCGTCATTGCTATCAAGAAGTGGCGCTGCTACGTTCATATGCAGCCGGTAACAGTCTTGACAGACTATTGCACTCTGCAGCACTTGAAGACGCAGCCTCATCTCACACCACGGCAGGCAAGATGGATGGAATTTCTTGAACAATACGTTCCTGAGCTGAAAATTGAGTATCGTGCTGGTTGTACAAACCCTGCCGATGTGCTCTTTTGTCCCCCAACCTCTCAGCTTGCTGTGATCGGCAGCGTGACATGGGACCCAGACTTCACCAAAAATTTTACCAAGGGATACCATCATGATAACTTTTACCTCCGTTCTGCCCCTTCCGACAAAGCCTACTATATTGACCCTCCATTCTGGCCCTTCTGACCGTAAACTCCGTCTCCTCCTACGCGAGCATCACGACCAGAATACACACTTCGGAGTGGACAAAACTGTGGCTGCAATTACATCAAACTATTTCTGGCCTAACATCTACCGTAATGCCCGCTCCTACGTGCGCAGCTGCCATACCTGTCAGTGCAACAAAGCTCGCAATTCCCCTCCCTATGGCCTCCTACATCCCTTGGAAATCCCAGAGACACCATAGAGCCATGTCACCCTTGATTTCATCACTGATTTACCTCTCACTTCTGCCCATCACAACGCCATTCTCACTGTGGTTGACAAAATCACAAAAAATGGCCCATTTCATTCCCACTTCCACCACTGCCACTGCCCAAGACGTTGCTGAATGCTTCTTCACAGAAATAGTACGTCTTCACGGTATTCCCTCTGTCCTTATCTCCGACCGTGACTCCCGTTTCGTTGGCAGATTCTGGCAGGCCCTTTTCAACAGGATGGGTACCAAGATTTGCCTCTCAACTGCCTACCACCCTCAGTCTGATGGGCAGACCGAGAGAATGAATCGAACGCTGGAAGATGGTTTGCGTGCATGCCTCAACGCTCGCCAAAACGATTGGACACCCACCTGCCAGAAATTGAGTTCTCCTACAACAGCACGGTTAACCTTGCTACTGGACAAACCCTGTTCTACCTAGCTACTGGACAAAACCCTCGTACTCCTACCTCACTGGTTCACAGCTCCAAACGTGATACTGCAGCAACGGCATTTCTGAAGGACAGAGAGAAAGCCATAACAGCAGCACGTGTCTCACTGTCCCAAGGCACAGCAGCGCATGATTCACTATGCAGATCAGCACCGACGTGACATCCGCTTTCACGTAGGAGATAGAGTACTTCTCTCAACCACAAATCTGCCCCTACTCACTCAAGGCCTCACCCGCAAGCTTGCACCTCGCTTCATTGGTCCCTTTACAATCACACAAGTCCTCTCTCCACTTACATACCGCCTGAAACTTCCTCCTCATATCAACATCCATCCGGACTTCCATGTCCAGCTACTACGCCCATATCATGATCCTCCAGCTCGCTTCCTCCCTGCTTCTCAGCCATCTCGCCCTCCCATGTTCACTCCAAGCCCTGATTTGTTCGAACTTGAGAAGATTCTTGCTCATGAAACAACACCTAGTGGCAGATACTTTCTAGTTAAGTGCCGTGAGCATGATGCAGCACACAATCTCTGCAGCATGTACAACGAGCTATCTCTGCCTACCTTGCATCTACTGGTGCACCGAGGATGGTGCCACTTGGAGGGGGGAGTAATGTTACAGGGCGAAAGCGAACTCGCCACAGGAAAGTTCGCAAGTTGGCGAGCTTGTAACTTTCGCCAAAATCCCAACCTGAAATATCAAATTCGAGGTTGGAAATCTTAACCTGAAATGTGCGCTTCTGGATTTCTCAAAGCATACGTGAACTCCCAACCAGCAAAGCAGCAGAGAAGACAGAAGAGAGCATCTTCATGACAGCAAGGCACCAATCGCGCTACGCAACTGCAACTACGTTCCAGCGTCACAAGATTCAGGTTGCAATCATCATGAAGACGAAGACTGAGTCAGCAAGTACTATTCTAGAGCTATCTCATGATTGTAGTTAGCAGATTTCTATATGAACAGCTAGGATCCAGCATAGAGTTGTTATTATTGCTTGTACATATTGTGTTCCTAGCTGGTGACAGCAGAGATAGGTGATATGGCGGTCTGAACGAGTTTCTCAAGGCGCCATAGTCATAGAAGTGTGTATATGAGTAGTTGTTCATCCCTTGTATGCCATTCTTGCTTTCTGAAATTTACAGAGTTTATGCTACCAATTTTACGTTACTACTTTAGACTCTCTAAACTTAGCTTTCAGAATCTACTAACAGCCTTAGAGCTGTTCCAATTATATTTACTTGTTATGAGCAGCCATTATTCTGATAAATGGATGTGCGAGGAGCAGAGGGATTACAGTACAGAGGCAGAAAAGCAAGAAGCATGATCCCTGTGGTATGTAACATGTCCACGTCTGCAAAGGGATATTTTTAGTCGGACTTCGAAATTACTGTGCGATGAGTGGGGAAACACGTTCCCAGCACCAAAGAGCAACTTGGGGCATAACTGCGTCACTCTCATTTTCAGCGAATGATGATGCAAGGAGGTACGATACATGTTGGGTGCAAATGCACATTGCACGACATCCTGCCGTCTGTTTGTACGAGTATGCGTGTGCGAATGCATTTGCGTGTGAATGGTGTGTTCGTGTGTTTGTTTGCTTTCGCATTTTTTGCTTGATGCATTTGCAGGTACTCGCGCAATGTGCGCTTCGGCACAACATTGTATGCGCTATGAACAGTGCAAGCAGAAAGGACGAGCTCGCAAAGGAACCCAAGATGGAAGCTTTGCAGTTCGGTTGAGTTGATTGCGCAGATTCAGTTCTATCCAACTCGGAATTGTACTGTTTTGTTTGGTTAACTATAGTGTAGCAGGGGAGGCACTATAGGGGTACAATTTAGGTGAAGGTTGGATGTTGTTTGTCTGTATCTGCATGCTACAAGGCCAGGGAAACCAGCGGAACCAGCATTTGGCTGGTTGGGCAAAGACAAAACAGGTTCTGTTTTTAGAACCTGAACCTGGTTGTTGTTTTCCCAGGTTGGAAAAACAGAACCAGAGGTTGTTTACCAACCTACCACCTGCTATTTTGTCCAGCCAGGTTGGTTCTGTTGCTTGGAATTATTTGGGATCATCCCTGGTTGTTCCCAGGTTGATTCCCAAGGTCCTTGCTAGCTAGAACTATTTATTCCTTCTCTGTTTGTACCTGAATATAGTCAAATTGATTCATGTGAATTCCTTCCTCGCTGGAATTTCGTTTCTACGCGGTTCGTTGGCGGAATGCTACCCGAGTCAACGCTAGTACGCTAGCACTCTAATGCTAGGCAAACACCGTCTGAGCCATAACTTCGTAATGGCAGAACTTTTCGCGAGGCAACTTGGCTCATTTTAAAGCTCTTGGAGCGAGCTTCGATATAGCGAATTCTCAGCTTAATCCGATCGACGGTCTGCACGGCACGCTGCGCGACGTTCAAGGTGCTCTTGCTGTTTTGACTAAGTCCTTCTTGATCCCTCTCTCTACAAACTCGGACCCGAGGATAGGGGCTGGTCTTGTACCAGGCACCCAGGGACCCTTGGAGGTGACCCCGAGGAGAGGTTTTAAGTTTGATTAAGTCCTAATAGCTTGAGTTTATTAGGCCCTTACACCAACAAGCTGGTATCAGAGCTGCGTTATAGTGATCCTCGTTATAGGTAGCTATGGCGGGCAACACCTCGGCGGGAGCTGGTGAATCTTCAGCCCAAGATCGTAGCGGCAGCCAAGATTCTGGTCTTTCAGCGCCAAGGGGAGCGCGAACAAACCAGGGCTCGCTTGTCAAGGAGGTGCTGAAGAATTTCACCGTCGAGAAGTTCAATGGTGAGGGCTATGATGATTGGGCCTGGAAAATGCAATTATATTTCCGTCAGATCGGTTTGCTGAAACTAATGATTGGGGAGGAGCCTAGACCGAGTGACCCCACGCTGCAGGAAGATTGGGACGAGCGCTCCTCGGCTGGCTACTATTTGATGTCGCAGAGTTTGGAGCTGAACCAGCGTCACCACGTCATGCACCTGCTGCCGGAGGTTGAATGCGGTCCGAAGGCGTGGACCGTGTTGAAGGAGCTGCACGCCCCGACCTCCGTTGTCGCAACGTTGATGCTGGAGAGGGAGCTGTCCGCGTTGCGCCTGAGCGAGGGAGAGCCGGTGCAACCAGTCCTGGACAAGATGCGCGACCTCTACGCGAAGTTGGCGACCGCGGGAATCACCTACCCGGAGCAGACCAAGTGCTTGAAGATGCTCTCGCTGCTGCCAGAATCGTGGCTTCAATTTACGAGCGGATTGAGCCTGCCGCAGAACCAGAGCTTGTGGACGCTCGAGTGGGTGCGGACAAAGATTCTGGAGGAGGACTTCCGTCGCCGCCAACTGAGGGGTGGAGACGACGGCAGCAGCGGCTACGGGATGCAAGGGAGCCGACGTGGCAGAGGACGTGGCTTCGGTGGTGCTGGACGCGGTGCAAAGAAAGACGACGACTCCAACGACCAACAAGGAGGTACCGGTTGGGGTCGCGGTGCGAAATCTGGACGTGGGGGCAAGTCGGGTGCTGGTGGCAAAATGAAAGGGAGTTGCTGGTATTGTGAGAAGGAAGGGCACCCCTGGTTTTTGTGCTATAAGAAACCCGATGGATGGACCCCCCAGAATCGTCACCAGGATGGCGGCGCGCGGAGGAACCAGAAAAACGGCGCCAACATGGTCGCTGATTCGTCCGACAACAACCCGAAGGGCAACGGCGGTGCGGAGAAGAAGAAGGAGCGCACCGCGGGCCAATTCTTCCATGTGGGAGACAAGGGGGAGCAAGGAGACGCCTCTGCCAAAGTTGGAGCAGAGCTGCACCCCCTAGACTATTGGGTGTTGGACACAGGCGCTGCTTGGACGATGACGCCGCGCAAGGACCTG